TTCCTCATCAAGTCTAGTTTGTCCATACCAAATTTCAGCTCAAAATTCGATCGGGAAGGTCGTCAAATGATTTTTGCAATTTAACTGGTCCGGAATATGTATTTTCCAGACCAGTTAACTTGCAAAAATCATTTGACGACCTTCCCGATTGAATTTTAAGCTGAAATTTGGTATGGACAAACTAGACTTGATGAGGAACATGCTCAAAAAATTTCATCAAAAAATTCCACCAGGAAGGTGCCCAAACGGGCTCGGCCGGACGGGGCAGCCCGTCAGGCCGGCCTGATGAGAAGAGCACTCTATATATATATATACATATATATATATATATACATACATATATATATATATATATATATATATATATATATATATATAGGGTAAGGTTCAAGTGAGAAGAACCCTTTGGGTGAGAAATGAGAATGAATCTCAGCCATTGGATTCGACTAAGTTGCAGTAAAACACTTCATGATGCACTGAAATATGCAATCTAGCACGGTGGCATTTCTATAAATAATTCTGAAAAATCCGTATTACACGTGTCTAGTGCAACATGAAGCTATTTCGGTGCAACGCCGTCAAATATTAGTGCAACATGAAACAGTTTTAGTGCAACATGTGCAAAATTTAAATATTACTGCAACATAAAGCCAATTTTAGTGCAACTTCGTAAATCCAATGACTGAGATTCATTCTCATTTCTCACATTAGATGCATTTCTCACCTGAACCAAAATCTATATATATATATATATATATATATATATATATATATATATACATATATATATATATAGATTAGAGATCAAGTGCAAACCCATCTTAATATGCTAACCTACTAACTTAATCCTAGCCATTCATCTAACTCAAATCACCATCCGTGTAATGTTAATTGTTGAAGTGAGGACTAATTAAAAGTAAGGGTGATTTGGTCAATTACTTTCCAACCTTAACCGCCTACTTTCCGTTTCTTCTTTCCTTCCATATTTGCAATCGATAATGGTTTTCATCTCTGCGCTCGTCTTCATCGTCCAAATAATGAATTGCTTCAAGTAATAATCTGTCAACATTGTCATCGAAATCCATGGAACCAGGTATTCGTATATCTGATGAACTCTGTTTTCATCCATTGCTCGTTTTTTTGTCATGTCCATCCTCTGTGTTTTCACATACGAATGTCATCAATAAACTTCGTTAATGTTACCTTCTTTCACTTTGTATGTCTGAATTTGTTGTTTGTTCTCTTTCATCCGCCAGTTCTATTTTGTTTATCAATTATGAATGAAGCAGGATCTTCTTTGATTTTTGTATGTTTTTATTTGTTGTTTTTTCTATCATTCGCCAAATCTATGTTGTTTATCAATTATGAATGAATGAATATTGCAGCTTCATTAACGTCAATGGATAAACATTAAGTTTTAACTATTTTCTTAATTTGTCTTTGTTTTCCGTTTTTGTATTCTGCAAGGTGATATATGCATTAGTTTTAGATATATGGTGCATTTATTCAAACTTTGTTTTGTAGTGTTTATCCCAGATTTTTGTCATGTTTAATATTATGTATCCTTTTGTTGTTTATATAGATCCGAATTGTGCTTTGCAAATTTCTCCTGGGGATTCAAAGTACTGGCTCCCTCAAGGGTCACCCGAAAAAAAACCTACTGTTGGAATGATATTTTGTAATGTAGATGCTGCCTTTACTTTTTATAAACAATATGCTGCTGAATTGGGCTTTACTATTCGTCATCATGCATCCAAGAAGGCCAGAGATGGACATATATTGTTCAAGTACATTGTATGTAATAGAGCTGGTTTTAAGAATAAAGTTTGTCCTCCTGTTTCGGATGCCAATCTCGCTGGTTCTGAAGTTTGCCAGAAAAATAGGAAACGAGTGTCTAATAGGATTGGATGTAAAGCCAGGATAACTCTCAAATATGTTGGAGTTAATGGTTACTCAATTTTTGCCTTTGAGGAATGCCACAATCATGCCATGTCCTCTGAAGTATCTAAACAATTTCTAAAGGCAAATAGAAATTTAGACATCGGGCATCAGAAGTTTATTTTAAATTGTTTTAGAGCGAATATTGGCACAATGAAGTCATATCGGCTATACAAGGAAACTGTTGGGGGTTATTCTAATATAGGGGCTACAGCTGTTGATTTCAAGAACTTCAAGCGTGATCTTATGGCTTACATATCCGGTGTTGATGCCCAAATTGTTGTTGACAAATTATTCAGGAAGCAAGATGTGTGTTCTGCCTTCTTTTTTGACTACGATGTTGATGATACTGACCAATTAACAAGGTTGTTTTGGGCTGATCCTATTTGCCGCAAGAATTATGCATTGTTTGGTGATGTTGTTTCGTTTGATGCAACCTATGGAACGAATAGGTTTGTTTCCATTATATTTTGTTTCATTGAAATTCACCTTATTTAATCTGCGTTTCTTCTGCACTTAACAGCACTATAACTTGCATCTTTCTTTGTTATGTTATGCACCACGTAGTATTGTGTTTATTAAAATGGTTTCATTCTTGTTTGTGCAGGTACAATATGGTTTTTGGACCTTTTACCGGTGTTGATAATCATAGAAAGTGCATCACTTTTGGTGCTGGGTTGTTATTGAAGGAGGATGTTGAATCATATGTTTGGCTTTTTACTCGTTTTATTAATGCAATGGCACGTCAACCAACATGTATTATTACCGATCAAGATCCAGCGATGCGGATTGCCATTGAGAAGGTATTTACATCATCCAAACACCGCTATTGTATGTGGCATATTATGAACAAAGTCACTCAAAAGGTAGGTCCAGTTTTAAGCAAAAATGAAACATTTATGTCTTCATTGAATTCAATTGTTTGGAGCCATTACTTAGAACCATCTCAATTTGAAGAAAAGTGGATCTCTCTGATGCATGAATATGAATTGACAACTCATGACTGGTTCTGCCATATGTTTGAGCTTCGTAGATGGTGGATCCGTCTTACTTTAGAGATCTATTTATGGCTGGATTGCTTCGTACAACGTCACGTTCTGAAAGTGAAAATTCCTTTTTTCGTGAATTTACCAACCCACATTTCAGTTTAGTAGAATTTCTTATGCAGTTTGAGAGTGCAATGGATGCACAACGGCATGTACATGATAAGTTGAACTCAGAGTCAGAATCCTACATTCCAGACTTCAAGACTCCTTTACCTTTGGAGAAGGCCGCATCAGATGTATTCACACTTTCTGTCTTCTATGATATTCAGTCGGAGTTGTGTTTAGGTTGCTTCTCATGTCGTGTTTTGCGTGTGCATGATGTTGATGGTGATTTTGAGTATGAAATTTCTGATGATCGTAATTTGGTGTTTAGAGTTGAGTTGAGCATGTCCAATATGAAGGCCATGTGTACTTGTAAATATTATGAGCGGATTGGCATGGTTTGTCGACACATTTTTGTTGTTCTAAAGGACTTCAAATTGGAACGCATTCCAGATCATTTGATTAGTAGCAGATGGTGCAAGAAGGGTTTAGTGAAGCCATTGGCTGCAATTTCAGATTTCATACTTGAGCAGACTACTTTGTTGGAGGACAATAAGATTTCTGTTAACAGTCTATGGTCTGACATATATGCTTGCATGGCCCTTGTTGAAAATAATCCTAGTTATTTGAAGAAATTTTCAGGTATAATTAAAGAGCAAAAGGATATTCTGCTTTCTCTACACGAAGGTGTTGGTCACGATTCAACAAAGAAGTCATTAATTGAATCATTCTATGGTTCTAGTGTGCCATCCGAAGTCACTGTTCATCCCCCGCAACAGGCCAAAAATAAGGGTTCTGGACGTAGGTTGAGGTCTTCCAAGGAAGTTTCGATTGAAGAATCTCAACGTCCCAAAAGGCTTTGTAGATCGTGCAATAAGATGGGGCATCACGACAGTAGGAATTGCCCTTTGAATAAATAGGCTTGATTAAAGTTGAAGTTTGTTTTCATTTTTGGTTGTTTGACATTACAGTGAGAATTGTATGTTGGAAATGAATATAGTTTTATGTTGTTGGTTTAGTATTTTACTTTTTCCTTATATGTTTTCAATGTTTTGTTATTGTTATTGTCTGTTTACCATTTGCAGTAATGCATACTCGATTATACATCATTGTATCCAAAGTATTGCAAATTACTTACCATTTGCAGTAATGCATCTCTTATTCCATGCAATTCGTTTAAGCCTTAATTGCATTTATATCACATTTTCAACGATGCATACTATTGCTCATTACACTGCATCATACTGAATGTTAAGATGCATGTAATGTGATACTAAAACAGTTGACTTTTACAGTTGACCTAAAATGATTTTAGGTGTTATGCCTAAATATTTATATCATACATTGTGTATCATTTTATGTAAGCTTATACGATATGCTTATTTTATTATTCAATGCAATTGTATTATTCAATGCAATTCATATAAGTCTTAATTTCATATATCTTGTTAATTACTAATGGGTACAATGCTAAAACTATTTGTGGTATATATTTAAATGAAACATGTATCTATATAACATGTAAGCAACACTTAAGTGAAACAAGTTTCTCCTTTTGGAATTGTATATATAAGAACACTACCTGCTATATCCCATGCGCTCAATGCTGCATAGTATACCTCATTTCAGTGCATAGCACAGTGGATAACAAAATAAGTGTTTGAATTCTAGCAAAAAAGTGTTTTAATTGCACATTCACACACAGTCAACATAATAGCATAATAGGATGCATCCTAACATATGTTTAATTACTAACGTCATATCAAAACTTCCAAATGTGTCCACGCACAAAAAAACAGATGGTAAACCAAATGTGTCCACGCACAAAACAACAGATTACAGATCACATGTTCTGTCAATCAATTCTAGCTATGGCGCATTCCACTCAGTCATTTCTTTGTCTTTGCAAAATTACGCGCATTCAGTAAGTTTTGCTCCTTAACTTCATTGCTATCATGAAGTAAAATTGTAGCAATATACTTTGTCCTCAATGCACCTAGTACTTTCTTGACCATACTACTATCCTCTCTGTTTACTCCAATATTCCAACCAAGCAGCCCCTCACCCCTATAAGTTTCCATATGCCTCATCATCAAAATCCCATAGTCATACACATCTTCTGGGTCTCTCCATGACATTGCTAATCTAGTCGGCTTCATTTTGCTCACAAAATTCGCTTTGCTTGTCATGTTCCTTGACAACAAGTATTTGACAAACATACGAAGCTGCAATAAAGTAGCAATTTTTTTGGATTAATAAACATAATTAAATATTACAAATATAATAAAAATATCTCTTTCTTACCATCCTAGCCGGCATGTCTCCATACTTGTTTTTCATTGAAACTCTAGCGGATGAGCTATCAATTATATCCACACGTTTGAGCTTTGTGTTCACACAGATTACATAGGCATGATGAATTTGCATTACTGGAAAAAAGAACTGCACCACATTTGCATGTTAGTTTTATTTTGTAAATAAATCAACATGTCATCTATTTCTTATGCCCTTACCAAATCAAAACTTGCTATATCACTGTGTTGTCCCACCAAATTCCATCCAAAGTCAAGCGCTGCTTGAAACAGCACATATGCATCATTATTATCGTATCCAAGATCTGCCTGCGAGTCTAGCTGAAGAGCAATTCCATTCCATTAGAACAGACATAACAAATTTTGAGTATATATATTTTACGAAATAAACTGTGTAATTTAACATTTTCCACTTACACAAGGGAACGCCTTTGCAAATATTCTGCCTGGTGAATCATCGCTTCTATTTCTCTCGTTCAAATTCAGAATGTACGCCCATGCATTTATTACACCAGGTGCAACATGCGACTTCTCTTTTAAACTCACCAACTCCCCACGTGTCACTTGAATCCAGAATGCCTTTTTGAAAACGATCTCATTCCTGCCAACAGAATATTGTATGACATGTAAAATGCAGGCATCATATGTAAATAGCAATTACAAATCTCTTTCAAAACATCATCATTGTGTCTCTCACACCATTACATGAAGAATAAAATGTACTTTTCTTACATCTTAGCATTTTTCTTTATCAATATCCATGCAGCAACAAGATGTTCATTACGGGTTATACTTTCTCTAGGATCAACAATCCTAGTTAAGTATGGTGATTTCAATGCTGCTGCAGGTTTTACAATCCTCTTCCCCGGATTCATAGTTGCTACTGCATCTGATCCCTGTTCATGTATCTGTCAAATAACAAATACGCATTATGCTATATATGGCTTCAAATAAAATGAATTCATATATTAAATAAAATTATTAACAACTACTTTGCATTCAGTAATCCGACTTCATTTTTACATAGCAATAATACACAAAGATTACGCTATAGATGTAATAACTTTACCTCAGATACTTTCAATCCGACTGCATTTTTACATAGCATCACTGCATCTTCTGTACTATCTTGCTGCACCTACACCATCAATTCAGAATTTCATAGAACATTTACTGCTTTTACAAAAGTAATAAAACACAACTTCATTTGTTCTGCTAATACCTCTCTTGCGTTCCCAACAGGATTAATTTCCAATACAACTTCCTTCCTTGCATTACCATCTTCTATAATATTAACACCGCAGCCCATTTCCAACACAACTTCCTTCCTTGCATTACCATCTTCTATAATATTAACACCGCTGCCCGTTTCTTCATTTGCAATCCTTGTTATTTCCTTATCAGCATTATCTTGGGTCAGCCCTATACTGAAGCTGGGAGTTTCTGCCATCTTACCAAAAGAACCTTGGATGTTTCTTTTCACTGTACCATCCACCGTACCAGTCTCTATCTGCACTAACGCTTGAATGTTTCTAGGACTTGACCAAAACTTTTCAATGTCATCATCAACAACATTCTGATTGGATTCGGGTGCATTTGTTTTTGCAGCAGTTGTTGTGATGGTATCCATCTGCACTAAAGCCTGGATGGTTGTTGGACTTGACCAAAATCTTTCAATGTCTTCATTAACAATATGTTGGTTGGGTGATGGTGCATTTGTTTCTGCATTTCTTGATTGTTTTTCTGCCACCTCAAGTAGCTTATTACTAGCCTCTAGGACTTTCTTCAAATTCTCATCTCCAATTACCACTTCAGGAGCTTCTTCTAACATGCTTATTATTTCAATTGTTGATGCAGCTAGCATACTTGTTTTCACAGCAAACGTTTTCATAAACTCCTGTGTTATAACATTAATTAGATTTGTTATTCAAAAAATGAAATCTATAAATAATAGATTTACCTCTTTTTCCTTCGCCCTAGTAGAGGTTTCACAATGTTCTGTTGCATCCTCCCCTTGTGATTGGTGCACCTCACATGCATCTGTTCTTATTTCTTCTACATTTGACGTCTTCTTGTTCACCTTATCATCTAAATATCCCAGTCCAAAACCGCTTGCTTCAATATCTGTCTTCTCTCTGTCCCTGAGTAATGGTGTTGTCCAACCTATTAGAGCTGGCCACTTTCTGATCACAGTCCTCTTTGTATACACCACCATTCTATCAACATAAAAAACCTGCAAATACATATGAATAACCACCATGTTAACACTTTTCTGATTACATGAACTTAAAACTTACACTCATACACCATATATGATATACTGACCACTAAAAACAGTAATGGACCAGTGAATGCTTTGTCCTTCGCTTCTTCCCATTCTAATTTCTTCTCCACCAGTGCTGAAATGACATATTCACACCAATTCATCCTTTTAACTGCTTTTGTGTCCCTTAAGCAATTGATGAACTGATAGTTGATATAACCGCTTTTTGTGTTCTCTATCAGTGAAGATATCAGTAGCACCACAAAGTGTCTAATAAACCACTCCCCTCCCTCCTTGCAGTTGATCATTGCAGTGGCCACTTCACTCGGAGTTATCTTTTCCTTTCCCCCAAATACTTTCCTCCACTCAACCGCTAGTTCACTCTTTTCGTGCTTATGTTTCTTGACAACTGCTTCTTCTCCACGAGGAAATCCTAATGCATTCTCAACATCTTCATCAGTCACATGAACCCTTATGTCACCAGAAACCTTCATCGTGCAACTCCTCGGGTCAAAGTTGTCCACTACCCAATACCCAAGTTTTGAAGGCAGTTCTGTGATGTATAAATGCAGCATCGCACCAAATCCAATGCTTATAACCTCCTCTCTTTGTTTGTCATTGAACTTAGCTATTGCCTGGACGATCACATGGGGTGATGATCTATTGTACAAGCTTTTATATTCATGCTTCAACTCCTTAAAAGCTCTCTTCTTCGGTTGCTTCTTTCGTTTCGGTTTAACTACACCTTCTTTGTTAATGAAATCTCTAGGAGGACTTTCAAATGCATCATCACTGTCACTCACATTTGTTTTCTTACCCTTCTTCCCTTCATCAGTGCTCTGTGATAACACAGAAAAATTCATGCCTTTGCTCCTCACTTCAGGTCTCTGCACTTCATCACGCTGAATATGCATCCTGCCTCGAACCCGTTTCACCACAGGCGCATCTGCTCCAAATTTAATGACACCATTTCAAATTAGATTTAAAGAATATCAAATGCATCTTACATGTATAATAGTGTATGTGTGTAACCTTTTAAATTTTTCCTCATCTCTTTTTTCTTTTTGTTCCGTTGCATCTTACTAGTTGATGCACCTTCTTGTTTTCTTTTTCCTCCTCTCACATGTTGCTCTTCTGCATTTTCTATTACATAGATGTACATGTCAGGGTGTAGCTTTTCACATCACATTAACAATTACTAAAAATTCAAACTACCATTTCTTTCCACCAATGCTTATTGGAACTACAAGTGATGCACCGAATTAAACTTATTTCATAGAAACATGTAAAAATACATTCATGTTACAATCATGCATCATGTACCTTACAAATGTATTTCATCAAAAACCAGAAACTTCAAAATGAGTAAAATTCATTAAAACTTCCATAATAAAACAACTAAAGTTAATTCAAATATATGCATCAATTAACTTCAATTACTGCATTGCAATTACATTATACTTGCATCTTTTAAGAAATCCTTATGCATATACCATCCTCACTAACACAAGTGCATATTTTGAGTGTAATTGTTTCTGCTATCATACAATCATGCATAACAATACATAATTTGAGTGTAGATGCAACTTCTGCATCTTCACTTTAATACTAATGCATAAAACATTCTTTTCAAATTCCAAGTTCAATAAGCATAACAAATGCATCTTACAACTACTACACATGCATCTTAAAACATTTACTATTGCATCTTACATCTTAAACTATGACATCTTAAATCAGTTTCACATTCCAATTGCAATTAGTGAACTCCCTGCATCATAAAACTAGAAACTCTTGCACGAAGCCTTTCACTGTATATCTAATTTATCTACATTGCTCATTTTCTGTCGTGTTGCACCTAACTTCATTCACAACAGCATATAAAAGCAAACTTTTTCCGTCTAACTTCTTATTAAATGAAAATCATGCACTGTGTTACAAAAATACCTACACAAAACACTGGAGAAAATTCATCGAACAAAGTGTTGCATGTCGTATGCAAAAAACTTGCATCGAATAACCATCACATACATTAATCTGACATTATGCATACAAATTTTATCAATAACAGAGTTTTACACCTATATCCAAATCTAAATTTCAATTCAAACTTGTAATCAGCCATTATTCATTACACATTTGCCAGTACTATGCAGTTAAATACTCGAATAACACATGCAACCATATTGAACACACCAAGGAGTAAAACGAGTACCTTCTCCTTGAAGCTCATTTTCTATTTCACGCAACAGGTGTTCCATTTGTAGCGAAGCCATAGCCTTCTACATATCGTCACTCGCCTTGCCTTCACTGAAATCGGATTAGGTGCACACGTTCACCGGATTCCTTGCTTCATACTCTAAAATCGATGGTACTCTTCACCGGAAGAAAAAGAAGTGTTTGCTGATCGTGGATTGTAATCGTCAAAATCAGGGTTTGCAAAACTTAAACGCAATTTGATTTTCGCGGCTTCTTTTTTTTTTTTGTTAAATGACTTCTTTAACCCTGAAAATTCAATGCGCGTTCGGTTTGTTTAGGCTTTTAATTCTATGTGTGTGAGTGCATAGATTTAATGATGCAGCCCAATCTGGAACGGTCTGTTTCCTGCAATCCAACGGCTGACATGAGTTAGTAGGTTTGCACCTAAAGCATAGTTTGCATGAGATCTTCCCCCATATATATATATATATATATATATATATAGAGAGAGAGAGAGAGAGAGTACTCTTCTCGTCACGCCGGCCTGACGGGAACCTCCGTCCGGCCGAGCCCGTTTGAGCACCTTCCTGGTGGAATTTTTTGATGGATTTTTTTGAGCATGTTCCTCATCAAGTCTAGTTTGTCCATACCAAATTTCAGCTCAAAATGCGATCGGGAAGGCATTCAAATCATTTTTTGAAGTTGACTGCGTCAAAATATACATATAAAATTGCAGTGAACTTCAAAAAATAATTTGAATGCCTTCCCAATCTAATTGTGAGCTGAAATTTGGTATGGACAAACTAGACTTGATGCGGAACATGCTCAAAAAATTTCATCAAAAAATTTCACCGGGAAGGTACCCAAACGGGCTCGGCCGGACGGAGCAGCCCGTCAGGCCGGCCTGACATGAACTTTCCTCTCTCTCTCTCTCTCTCTCTCTCTCTCTCTCTCTCTATATATATATATATATATATATATATATACATATATATATATACATATACATATATATATATATATATACAGAGTCCCGTTCTTGTCCAGCCGGCCTGACGGGATGCTCCGTCCGGCCGAGGGCATTTCGGGCACTTCCCGGTGGAATTTTTTGATGAAATTTTTTGAGCATGTTCTTCATGAAGTCTAGTTTATCCATACCAAATTTCAGCTAAATATTCAATCGGGAAGGCACTCAAATAATTTCTTGAAGTTAACTGGGCAGTTTATATGTATGAACTGCCCAGTTAACTTCAAGAAATTATTTGAGTGCCTTCCCGATCGAATTTTGAGCTGAAATTTGGTATGGATAAACTAGACTTCATGAAGAACATGCTCAAAAAAGTTCATCAAAAAATTCCACCAGGAAGTACCCGAAATGCCCTCGGCCGGACGGCGGTTCCCGTCAGGCCGGCTGGACATGAAAAGTCCTCTATATATACATATATATATATATATATATATACATACATATATATATATATATATATAGAGTGCTATTCCTGTCCGGAATTTCCGGACGGGAGCCCCGTCCGTCCTCCCTCCATTTGGGGGCCTTCCTGGTGGTATTTTTTGCTCAAATATTTTGTGTATGTTTCTCATCAAGTCTAGTTCATCCATACCAAATTTGAGAAAAACATTCAATCGGGAAGGTCGTCAAATGATTTTTGCAAGTTAACTGGTCCGGAATATGTATTTTCCGGACCAGTTAACTTGCAAAAATGATTTGACAACCTTCCCGGTTGAATTGTTTTCTGAAATTTGGTATGGATGAACTAGACTTGATGAGGAACATACACAAACAATTTGAGCAAAAAATATCACCGGGAAGGCCCCCAAATGGAGGAGGCCGGACGGGGCTCTGGTCAAGAAATTCCTGACCGGAATATTTGTGTGTGTGTGAGTGTGTATATATATATAGAAGGGAAAGATCAAGTACAAACTGTGCTTATTGTGCAAACATTTGTACGATGCACCTTAACGTTCTTTGTATTGCATATTGAGGTTTAAAATAGTGCATATTATTTAGCCATAAAATAGCAGTTGTACATTTACGTTCAACGAGTTACACCCTAAAAAGTTGGGTTTTATTACAAAAATGTCGCCTTGCCTTTATGTCCTTTGGATCAACTCATCGGACGGTCAAGATGAGTTTGTACTTTGTAAATTAAGAAGAGTTTGTATTTGATCAGGAATGTTCAGGTCCGAACATTCCTGGTCCGAACACCGTCCGAACATGGACATTTGGGGCCCTTCCCGGTGGAATTTTTTGATGAAATTTTTTGAGCATGTTCTTCATCAAGTCTAGTTTGTCCATACCAAATTTCAGCTCAAAATTCGATCGGAAAGGCATTCAAATCATTTTTGAAGTTGACTGCATCAAAATATACATATAAAAACGCAGTCAACTTCAAAAAATTATTTGAATGCCTTCCGGATCGAATTTTGAGCTGAAATTTGGTATGGACAAACTAGACTTGATGAGGAACATGCTCAAAAATTTCATCAAAAAATTCCACCGAAAAAGACCCCAAACAAGGATGTTAGGACGGAGGGTCATGTCCGAACGTGGGGACCTAATCATTCTTGCTCTATTCTAAATATATAGGTATAGAGGCTCTATAAGTATATATTAACTAAATGTAATATGTAAATATAAGTAAATAACAATAGTATGGATAATAACTAAATATCAAGTAAATATGAATGTGTACAAGTATATATAGTATATATAATGTGTAAAGAATTATAATATGAATGTGTATAAGAATATATAAGTATATATATTTATAAGTAGATAATTAATATATAAGTAGCTATAATAATTATATAAATAATATATATGTACAGGCATGGACCCGGTTCGGGCTGCCCGGCCCGGGACCGGCCCGCCACTGTGCGGGCCCGGAACCGGCCCGGTTCTCGGGTCCAGGTCGGGCCTAGGCCCGGTGGGGGGTCCGGGTCCGGGCTCGGGCCTTGTATTTGGCGAACCGGCCCGGCCGGGTTAGGCCCGGGCCGAATTGATTTTTTTTTTTATTTTTTTTTTTCATTTTTTGGGGTTAGCCGGGTTGGGCTTGATGGTTAGGAGGGGTTTGGGGGGGGTGAGTGGGGGACGTTAGGAATGCAAAAAAAAAAAAATGACCGAACCGGAGGCCCGGACCCTGACCGGAGCCGGTGGCTACCCGGGCCGGTCCCGGGCCTTCCTTCCCAAAAAAAAAAGCCCGGCCGGGCCCAGCCCAGCCCGGGTCCATGACTATATATGTAGAAAGAATTTGGAGAAGATGAAGAATGAAGATGATTGAATATAGGAGTAGAAGAAGAGGTGTAAAAATTTATAGAAAATAGGAGTATAAATAGGTTTTTTTTGTATACCCCACCCCCCAAACCCCCCCTCATATGCCCTCAACGACTATAGAGCCGTTTTGGAACAGTCCCAACGGCTAGAAGCCTTTAAATATTAAAAAAAAAAAACGGCCTTTGTGGCCCGGACCGGGCCCGGACCGGCCGGGCTGGTTCACGTTTCTGCAGGCCCGAGCTCGGACCGCTTTCAGACCGGGTCAGTTGGCCCAAACCAGCATCCAGGCCTGTTACCGGGCCGAGCCGGGTACAAACAGTACCGTTCCGGGCCAGTTGGCCTGACCCGAGTCCACCCATAATCTAAACTCACATTATCTTACTATCTGAGCTATATGAAAAATTAAAAAACATAAATATTGTTTAAAAATGATCCACCCTTTTATTCTAGAATTAACTTGAGACATTTTTTCTAGCTCCGCCTCTGCCCACATGCCTGTTCAAAACAGTTCTAATCAGTTCTTTTATTTTGGGGGGGGGGGGGGCAACTGGGCAAGGAGGTGAGACCGTGAGAATGAATAAACTACATTGCTACAATCAAATCCAATGTCCGGTGTAGTAAAAAATATCACAGAATGATCATCCCTAAAAAGGAAGGGAAAAAAGAACAAGTTGTTCCATGGAAGATTTCAGTGACCAAAAACAAAATATCATACGAAGTATCTGCCACAGCCCACAAGCGGCTGTTTATTACACGAGAAGTCCCCTTTGAGTGAAGACATCAAGCATTGTAGTTCCAATTTTGGCTGGAGATTCACAGACAATCACACCAGCTGCTTTTAGAGCCTTGATTTTGTCTTGAGCCGTACCCTTCCCCCCTGAAACTATAGCTGCATATGCCCAACCAAATAGATTTAGGTCAAGTAAAAAATCCTACATAAGCTTGAGGAAACAGATCATATTATAATAAGGATAAAGCAGCAACATTAACCATGAAGCACAATAGCTTTGATACTCTCTATTCTCTATTTCTCTTCCCACACACCGATAAAGAGAGGCCACGTTTGACCATGATACAAGTTCCTAACTGTGGTAAGTAAGGTATGGATAGGAACTCATTACAAAGAAGTAAAATAACATCACAATTACCTCCAGCATGGCCCATTCGCCGTCCAGGTGGCGCGGTAAGTCCAGCAATAAAAGCAACAACAGGCTTTTGAGTACCACTTTCCTGCTCCGGATGGTACAAATATGTCAGTGACTTAAATATGTAGAGATCAAGTCCGCAGACAGTATAACATACTAAAACATGAATAATCTCATTCGAACTTAGTTCAAGTTTTCATTTAAACAAGGTTTTATTTTTTAAATTAAGGAGTATTTTTGGTGAACAACTTTTGTATACCAACAGCTTTTTCCTGAAATTAATACAGCCTACTTGAGCAACAAAAAAAAGAATTACAAAGAATAGACACTAGACTGCACAGGAAAACCTGGAGCAAAAAAAACAAGTCTAACCGTAAAGTAAATTAAAAATATGCCGAGGAAATCTGCAAAAAACTGAAGCAAATAAAACTAATAATTAACTGGTCCTATCCCAGCAACTAAAATAAAAAACCTTAACCCAGCTGTGATAGGGACCTAGACAATACTAGCAATAAGAATAATAGTGAGTATTTGATATTGTACAATAAGTGGTTTCTAGGCTCAGTAGCTTAGTAACTAAGGCTGGCCCATTTAAGGGATGAGTATAATAAGAGCAGGAAGGGGGAAAAGAGAGGCAGGCAAAAATTGGATCTGGGATTAGGCCTTGGGAGTGTGAGACAACTCGAACTGTCTCAATCCTTTTTTCTCTTCTATTTTCTGTTTTCTGCTATTGTACGAGGGTTTACTGGGAGGACCTCAGATTTTATCAATTGAACACTAAATTTCTGTTGCTTTGTTGAGGTACCTACCATTGGTATCAGAGCAGTCGACCCAGGGAAGTTTCGATCGACAGTCACGCGGGAAGAAAAAAATGGAGCAAACGGAACATCGACTTTCAGAGAGGAAGGTGGCCGCCTCTGGTTTGCGCGCAAACCCGGAGAAGCATTCGAACTTGGACAAGGAGAAGCTCATGCAACATCCAAGATCCGATCAGGATGCTTCACGCAGAAAACTGGAAAAGCACTCAAACAGGGAGAAACACTCGAACCTGGAGAAGTGCGTGAACAAGGAGAAGCTTGCTAAGAGCAAGGAAAAGGTAGAAAGTGACCGGGAAAAAAGTGGAGGATCTGGTTGGACGAGTTTCACACCGAGCTGCGTAAACAATGTCGCAGGCGAGGTCGATCAAGGACAGTTCGCCTGTGTCAGAATTCTGCAAGCAAGGTATTACCATCATCGCTAGCCGCTTCTCAGTTAGAGTCATCGATTGGTTCCCAGCTATC